CTCTGCTCTGCTGCTCTGCTCTTTCTAGAGTGCAATCCTTTTTGAATATCCTCGCCTCCATTCTCTAAGGCCTAATTCAATTTCACTTTCTTTTCTATACTCTATTGTACCTCTGATATGGTCCAACCCATTTTTATGCCCATGTCCCTAGGGTCTGTCTTAGTGCCCTGCTTACTGTGACTGTACCATAATTTTTAAATATCAAATTAAATGAGACTTTGGAACTGAAAGCATCAAAGAGAAGACATCCATCACTAAGACTACATTTTGAAAAGGAGGTTCATGTAGACAAATGAGGTGATTAGGCATCAGTTGAGAAATCATGGAATGTTAGAATCGGAGGGGACCTGCACGATCATTTAGTCTGATCTCTTTATTTCATATTTTGACTCTGAGAAGGGCTGGAGGTCACACAGCTGGCTGGTCAGTGGCAGGGCTGGGGCCTGAGGCCTCTGGAGCTCTGACCATGACATAGGCAGCTCCCTTATATAGGGTCACTCACTGCCCATCAAAAATTGTTAAAGATAGAGCAAATTTAACTTTGATTTTAAGACACAAGGATAGGGAGTCTTCTGTGATAGTTTTTCGTGTGGGTTTTTTTTTTTTCCTACTTTTTTCGTTTAAGGAATGTAGTTCAGACTTTGTTAAGCCATTGTGGCTGGATTCTGCTGGTGTCTTCCGGGACAGGCTATTACCATTTGCATCGTTTAATGGTTTGTTATTCAGACAGGCTCAATAAAGCACTTAAGAGATTAGAGTTCTGCAGCTGGAATAAATAACAAGGCAAGATGCCCATTCCTGCTTATGGTGTGTCGGACTCCGGTGACGATACTGCAGTGAAAGGCCATCAGTAAACAACCGTGGACAGGATCAGACGGGCTGCTGGAGATTTAGGGGCCTGACTTGTCCAAGACTAAACAGATAGAGAGAGAATCAGTGACAAGGTTTAAAAAACAAACAACAGGGTGAGAATAAAACAGTTTCAGGAGTATTATTACTATAAGGAATATATTTCTTCCTTGAATACACTCGAATGCATCAAGGATTATTCTTGAATTCACAGAAAATTTGTGAAGTTAAGAATTGAGTGAGTGCAGTCTGTTTTTCTTTTATCTTAAAAGTGATTTCAGATTTATTATAATTTTGGCATGCCTTTCAGACGGGTGATAGTAGGAGTGTAGCAGGTGTTTTCTGGACTTAGGATCAACAGGTGTTGGAGGAGCATGTGATGAAGATGAGCAAGAGCATTTGCTGTGAGCTGGTCTGTCTCCCATGGTGTGGTTGGCCACTCCGGCGGGGATGGCAGCTGTGTGCTGTCTCACGGTAACCTGTACTGCTTAGCTGTCAGCCCAGGTGCAATTAGATAATCTGGTTGTGTGGTTATTTATTCCACGTCTTTTCTTGCTTTGTGTGCTCTTGAGGGCATGGCTCGTTATCTGTCCTGTTCACTTCTATTCCTAGCTCCTCGCACAGTGTGTTGCATATTCGAGGTGTTTAATAAATATTTCGAGGTGTTTAATAAATGTTTGTTCCTTGAGTAAGTGGATGCATGCAGGAAGGAGAGTTTGCCTACTGGGCTTAAGGATGAACCCTGGTGGGAGTGGAGAGGTGAATTGCACAGGCCATCGGGCAGAATTCTTGGGTTCAGCATCTGGCTCTCCCATTTTTAACTGTGTGATTTGGGGCAACCCATTTTGCCTCTTTATAGCTTCATTTTCTCATGTATAAAATGGGATTGTAATTTCAATCTCACAGAGTTGTGAGGATTAAATGAGTTAATCCAGATAAAGCTCTTAGTCCAGGGTTGGCTTATAATAAATGCTCAATAAATACTGACTCCTGTTATTAATATTGAATTGCCCATCTTTTAGCTAATGAGAGATGTTTCAAGCTGTTTATTTCTCCTTCCATGCAGCTCTTGGATTGCTTTGGGATTCCTATGTTGATGGCTCTCTCGTGGTTTATTCTTTATGCAAGATACAGAGTGATCCACTTCATTGCTGTGTCTGTCTGTCTGCTGGGTGTAGGAACCATGGTTGGTGCAGACGTCTTAGCAGGGAGGCAAGACGATTCAGGTGAGAGTGTGTTACTTATTTGTGGTTTAGTCACAGAAGAATTTTGCTCATGTTTTCACTTTTATTTTGCAAAGATAAAGTAAATGGCAGAAAACATGTCTTGGTTAACTACCTTTTAAATTTTATTTTCAGATTTACTTGTTTATGGTATTTTGTAACCACTTCGGCAGAACAATCTTCATGTTCCTAGCAGTCCACAGTCCTTGTTCCTTTTTGTCACACTAAATAGTTTGGTTTGTCTCATGACAGAGAAGTTTCTTTATATATTTGCAATAATCTTTTTGTGGCTCATACATTTGGATTGGATACTGGAAAACCTACTGCAGATTCTTGGTTTTTTGTTTTTTTCAAAAGGAGATTTGGTGTTCATGGGATAACCTCTTTGTAAGCCTCTCTATAAATGAGAACAACTTGCTATACTTTGTGTTAAATTCAGACAATTGATAGTATAAAATCTAATTAAGGTCTGTGAATTTACCCAATCTACAAGTGACTTCGGTGTCTCCTTGGATTAAGAGAGAAAATTACCTTGAAATCGGTTCCTTTCTTATAGTTTTCAAACTGACGTGACCCTTTAGTAAATTTCATTAATTAGTCATGTCATAGAATCATTTTCCAAGGGCTTGAGTTATGGTGTATACCACTATCTTCCAGTCTGTTAGTCTTCCAAATTATGAAAAATCACAGCAAAATTATATTAGAAAGTTGTAAGAGACTTCATACTTCTAGAAACCAGGTTTTCTCCTTCTGTAAAGTCTT